AGACCTGCCTCTCAGCTCCAGGGCCCGCCTCTCACACCCTTTGGCCCCGCCCACAGACCTGCCTCTCAGCTCCAGGGCCCGCCTCTCACACCCTTCAGGCCACGCCCATAAACCTGCCTCTCAGTCCCAGGCCCCGCCCTCATGTCCGCCTCTCACACCTTTCAGGCTCCGCCCTCAGGCCCTGCTCCTCACATCCGTGGGTGAGGCTCTTCCACCTGGCCGTGGACCCTACTTAGGTTCTATCTTGCCCTCAAAGCCCTTTAACATCCTTGCCTGCCCTGCCCCAGCCCCCAGTCCCCTCAGCCCCTAGATTTCCTTCAATCCCTTTCAGCTGTCTCCCGTTGACCCCTGACCATCTGGTCCAGAACTTTCCCTCCTTGCCCCAAGCCTACTTCTGTTCCCATCCAGACGCACCTTCCTTCCCAGCAGACCCACTTGAACCCCCTTCCCACCCACCCTGCCCCTCCCCTCCGTCAGCTAGGGACCGGATTGTCTCCGCCCCCAGGTCCAGCGCTCATGAGGGCCCCTAGCTGACACCCCCCACCCCCCGGAGCTAAGTCAGCAGCCTGCACAGGCCCTGGAGCTTCCCTGTGGAGCTGGGCTCCATGCGCGATCCGGATGCCCAGGTGAGCCGGCTGCATCGCCTGGCTGTGGCCAGGTACACCAGCTGGGGCCTGGCCAGACTCCTGCGAAGAGGTGAGAGGGGACGCTTAAGAAGAGGTGGGGGGGGATGCCTGTTGGGGAGGGACCAAGGGGCAGCCTCACTGGGCTATCCAGGGCACCGGACTGTGTGCCAGGCTCTGTGGTCTCAGCTGGGGATTCAAGGAGGGAGGACTCTGGGCTCCAGATGGTTAGATGAGACCCCTGGAGGGGTGACACTGCACTTGTGTCTTACACTATGAGAGCCAAGCAGAAAGCTAGGACGAGAGCTTGGTGAGATGCAGTGTTGGAAAATCTTGGTAAAATGCTGAGCTTGTTTTTCTCGGTGGACTTCCTGGAGGACTGGGGTCCCAGGACACTGAGATGACATGGCATGTAAGGGTCAAGGGTCCCCTAGTCAAGGAGGGATTCTGGAGACTAGGAATTGGGCAAGCGCTTCCCTAAAGGCCCCTACGAGCTCCTCCCCAGGAGGACAGAGCCAGCCTGAAGCCTGGCCACCTGTCAGTTGTCCAGGTGGATGGAGAGAACTCCCAGGGGCAGACAGCACTCTTTCTCTCGGCTCTGCTGGGCCGATGCTCTGCTGTGCGACTCCTGCTGGACTTTGGTGCCAACCCCAATCAGTGAGTAGACAGACCTCGGGGTCCCCATTCTCCTAGTGCCAAACGCCCCTAAATATCCCTGCCCTACAAGCTAACTCCTCCTACCCAGCCATTCTTTCCATTTTCCTGGTGCCCTCCGGGCTCACTGCCAGCCTCTCATCCTCCAACACCCCATTCATGCCCCGTGCCAGTGGCTCATGCCTGTCATCCTAGCTACTCAGGAGGCTGGGAGCTGAGGATCAAGGTTCAAAGCCAGACCAGACAGGAAAGTCCATGAGACTCTTTATCTCTAGTTAGCCAGCACAAAGCTAGTAGTGGAGGTTTGGCTCAGGAGAGTGCCAGCCTTGAATGAAAAAGCCAAGCGAGGGCTGGGAAGGTGGCTCAGTGGTAGAGTACTTGCCTTGCATGCATGAGGACCTGGGTTCGATTCCTCAGCACCACATAAACAGAAAAAGCGGGAAGTGGCGCTGTGGCTTAAGTGGTAGAGCTGAATAGCTGAAGGACAGTGCCCAGGTCCAGGGTTCAGGTACGTGTGCACGTGCACATGCATACACACACACACACACACACACACACACACATATTCATCCTATAGGGCTCCCATCCTCTAAGGCTACCTATGCTGCTAACAGATCTCCTCTACCCCCAGAGCTCCACCCTATCGCTTTTTGTCCCTATTCTGACGACATTTCATCTGTTCCCACCACTCCTGTTTCTTTTGCCCCAGCCGCTGTGTGGATGGCAGCACACCCGTGCACGCGGGTGCCTTCTCTGGCCGCAGTGCAGTGATGCTGTGCCTGCTGCAGGCGGGTGGTGACCTGCGTCTGCATGACCGGCAGGGTCGCACGCCCCAAGATTGGGCTGAGCAGGGTGGTGCAAAGCACAGCTGGAAGGTGAGCAGAGATCTGGGGTTCTGGGGGAGAGGGGGATCTTGAGGCTAATGCCTGCACCCAGCCTCACCCACATACCCCATCCAGGTGCTGGAGCTGTTGGAGCTGTGCCGAGACCACATGGCAGCTCTGGTGCAGGGCAGGGCATTGGCATCTAATGCAATCCTGGGTCAGCTGCAGGCCTGCTCTGGGCGTGGTCTGTGTGGCGCCCTGTGCTCACTGCCAGGATTACAGGCAGACAGGTAACAGCCCCCACCCTGGAGCCCACCTGCCCACCGCCTCCCACCATTCCCATCTATTCACAGTGCCCATTACCCCAGGACACTGAGACCAGGACACATTAGCAGATCCCCTCAAGCCTCAGTCCTGGGGTTTGGCCAGGTAAGTAGAAGAGGTTTTGGGGAGCAGGGGTTACCTGTCTTTTTAGTGCCTCATGGCCTTGCTCTCCACCCCCAGCTGAGCAGCCTGCGGCCCCTGGCACTAGCAATGGGCATTCCCCTGGTGGACGCCCAGGAGCTGCTGCCAGCCCAGGGTGAGCCAGACTACACCTACGAGAACAGCTCCTGCACTCTCATGACCAAGTGAGAGCCCCCCCCGTGCCCCCGCAGGGTCCCATGCCCGCTCTCCCCTCCCCTCCAACCCACCCTCTCCCACTGCGTCTTCTCCAGCCTCCTCTGGAGGGGCCACCCCATGACCGTGCGTCAGTTGAAGCCCCCAGAAACCCAGCCTGACGTGCTGCTAGCTGACCTCCAGTGCTGCAGGTACCCCATCCCAGCTTCCCCTGCCCAGCCTCTTGCAGCCGCCATGGTGATGTTTGGTGTCCAGCTCAGGGCCAGCTGGGTGGGAGCAGTCCCTCCTTCCCACTGGCGAAGTGAGGGCCAGTTCTGTGCTGGGGAGGGAAGGGTACCCCGGGCTGGTGAGTGGTCTGCTCTGCTCCCACCCAGTGCCCTGCACCATCCCAGCCTGCTGCTGCTGCTGGCCCTGAGCCTCTCGGCAGACCTGTCAGGGCTGTGCCTCCTCTTCGAGCCCGTGTGCCTGGGCTCCCTCTATGTTGTGTTGCACCAGCCAAGATCAAGTGAGCAAAGATGGCAGCCTGGGTCAGACCTGCAGCCCGGGCCCCTGCTGCTGCAAGTTCTGGAGGCCCTGCTGTTCCTGCAGGCCCGCCGCTGGGCCCATGGCGGCCTCAGCTCCCACGCTGTACAGCTGGTGCGGCCAGGGCTGGCAAAGGTGGGCAATCTGGAGCATGGGCGCCCTCTGCACCCATCCTGGCTACATCTCAGGTGAGAGCCTGCCCGCCTGTCTGCCCACCCTTGGCCCTTCCCCACCCAGCAGCCCCTAACTCACTAAGCAACTTGGATTTCATAGGTCACAACATGGCTACCTTCCCGGAGGCCCGGGGCCGGGGCCTCCCCCACCTCCTGAACTGTACCCATGGCTGCCCCTCGAGCTGATCCATAGCGATGTACCTGCTGCCACCTCAGACCTCTACAGCTTCTGCATTCTGACCCAGGAGGTCTTCACTGGTCAGTGAGTGCCTCTACCCCGCTGCCTCTCCCCAGCAGCACCCCAGAGGTGCAGGTCCCCCAATACTGCTTCCTCACAGGACAGCTACCCTGGGCTGGGAGAGCGGGTCTGGAAGTGAAGGCTAAACTGGAGGCTGGTGAGAGCCCAGGCCTGGACCCCCTGGTACCAGCCCCCTACCAGGCCATGGTTGAGGCCGGGCTGGGCCTCAGACCTGCTGACCGCTGGGGCAGTTTGCAAAGTACCCGCTACCTGCTGCGGAAGGCCATAGCCCAGGTACAGGAGGGCAGCAGGAGGTAGGGGCTGTCACAGAGGCCCAGCGTGGCCTGTGTCCTCACACCCAGCCTCCTCCTCACAGGATGTAGCCCCTGAGGTCAGCTCCCCCAGGAAGTGGACAGTGTCCCCTGGATCTCCATGCTGCCCACCAGGTGGGGGGGCAAGGACGTGTGATGCCGGGTGCTGGGCACAGCTGAACTGGGCCTGCCCATGCCCACCAAACTGATCCATCTCCCCAGAGAACCTGTACTTTGAGACAGTGCCCAAAGCCAGGCTGGTGCCCCAAGGCCTTGTCCCACCCCAGGTAGGAGCCAGGGGAAGGATCTGGATGCCTAGGGGTGGTGGGGTGCACCTTGGCACTCTGTGCCAGCTCTCCCATTGTCCTCTGCAGGCGCTGGACACTCCTGAGTTCTCAGATCACAGTGGGGGCCTGGCGGTCACAGACTGGGACTCAGGCAGCAGCCTGACTCTAAGCAGCGGATGCAGTCTCAATGCCAGCGTTCACACAGACTCCAGCCAGGGCCCTACAGCCCTCGTCAGCCCACGCTGCTGCCAGGGCCCCAGCCCCACCATGTGGGCACCCCGGTGCCTGCTGTCATGGGTGACTTCTGACCCCAGGGGTCCCCTGACCAGAGACCCCCTCAGGGACTCTCCTCCCTCACTAACCTGTGTACTCAGCCACCCCTGCCCCCTCCAGGGCCCGGCCCTGCCCTGCTGTTCTCAGGCCACCGCCGTTAACTGGTGGGGATGCCCGGCTCTGTGGAACAGTTTGGCCGAAAGTTCTCAGTCAGGATGTGAGTTCTGCCGGGGCTGCTGCTGCACGCTCAGCGCCGACACGCAGGTCCCCCAGCCCCATGAGCCCACCCTGCCTGCTGACCCTCAGGAAGGCTGTCCACACCCCGTGGGGCAGGTAAAGCCAAGGACCCTGACCCATCCTGGGCCCCCACCTCCCCTCCCAGGGCACCGGATGCCTGCTCCGGCCTTTCTCTCTCACAGGCGCCCAGCACTGAGCCAATGGGAGGAGGCTCCTCCTCCAGCCTGCAGAAGTGAGTGGGGGAGGCCCCAGTGGAGAATCCCTGGGCTGGCCCTCATCCCTAAGGTATGCCCAGTTCTCCTTGGCCTCTGCACTCCAGGACGGACCTGCTGGACGAGAGCCTGACGGAGCTGCCCTGCCGATGCCTCTTGGGAGATCAGCCCAGCCTTGGTGCCACAACCCCTGGTTCAGATTCCTAGGGTACCCATGATATTGCCCCTGGAACCTTCCAGAAGGGGACAAGCCCCACCCCCATACCTGTCTCAAATGAAAGAAAGCCACAAAGCCGCCCTGTCTGCTTCCTCCTTCATGAATCTAACCCCAACAGCCACGTTTCCACCATTTTATTCATTAGTGGGGTCAGATGGTTTAGAGGGGCACATGGGGGAGAGGTGGGCAGCCCCCATCCCCGTGCACAGGTCAGGGCAGGTTGGGGGGCTTCTGGAGAGAGAGAGAGAGGACTGGGTGTCAGCCTAGCCCTCTTTCAGATTTGTGCGAGGGCCCCCAGAAGGGAGGGGAGAGGGAGGGGCGTGCTCTGCAGCCCAGCATGGGGGGGAAGAGGCTATGATTTTAGTTAGAGACCCACATCAGAAACAAGTTACAAAGTTAGAAAGTTGGGGGATAGGTGGAGGCTTAGAAAATACAAAACAAGGGATTGGGCTGGGCCAGGGCAAAGGGGAACCAGGGGAGGGAGGGGGAGGGGAAGGGAGGGCAGAGCAGAGCAGAGTCCTCAGTCCTAGCTCAACAGTAGCTTCGAGTCTGGCCCTCTGACTGGAGGGACCAGCTGGGAGTGGGGTAAGGGGGTGGGGGGCCAGCCCCCTCCCCTCTCTGCCCCCCATTTCTATATAAAGACCCTCGGTGGTGCTCCCCTCCCCTCCCATAGGCTGGTGGGGCTGCTCTGTAGAGCAGGAGAGGTTCTGGAGGGCCCCAGGGTCCAGGCATCCTATGAGGGGTTCGGGGGCCCCAGGGTACCCGCTGTTTCTGGGGGAGGCGGGGGGCTGGGAGCCCAGGGTCTGACCGGCTTCGGGGGTGGGCAGGAGGGGAGGAGGAGCAGGAAGAGTCAGGGGAAGGACCCCTGGGCCCTGGAGCTAGGTTGACATAGAGGGGCTCAGGATGGTTGGGGCGCCGAGCAGAGTGCTGGGGGGCTGAGTGGCTAAGGTGGTCAGGCGGAAAGCAGGAAGGGGATGATGGGTAGTTGAGCAGAAAGTCGGGGGACCTGTGGAGTGGTGGTGATTGGCCAAGCATACCATATGAGGCATTGAGCCTATCTGGGGGCATGGAGCGAAAGGGGCTCCAGCACCGGTAGGGGGACCCCTCACTAGCGCCCCCTATCTCATAGTACAGGTTATCTCCCCTGTCAAGCGGTATTGGGGGGCCGAGGGAGTTCCTCCAGGCGGGGGCTGGGGAGCTGGGCTGGAAGGATGGAGGACCCAAGGGATACAAGCCTGGTTTGGGGACCCCAAAGAAGGGTGGCAGGCACTCCCGGGGGGGTGAGGAGAAGAAACCAGGGGCTGGGGCCTGCGAGGGGATGGAACATGGGGACTGGGCTGTGGCCTCTGGGGCCTCTCTGTATCCCCCGCCTGCCCTGAGCTGGGCACTGACCTGCGCAGGGCCTTTGAGCCCCCTCCGGGAGGTCCCCAGGGGCCTCTGGCTCCTCACCAGGCTCCCATCGCTTTGTTGCCTGGGTAGGTAGGATGGGGGTCCTGGGGCCCATACCCCCGGGTGGGCTAGGGAGTGAGGGAGTGGCCCACTCCCTGGGGTCCCCACGGGCTCCCCGCCTACCTCGAGGGACAGTGAGCGGCGGAAAGGGGAGCGGGGAGCAGGTGGGGTGACCCCGTGCTCTTGCTGGCTCTGTTGCTCGGCTACCTGCTGAGCCCGCTCAGCCAGAGCCAGGGCCATGAGACGAGCTGGGTTCTTGGGGGGCGGGGGTGGGGCTCCTCCAGGGCGCAGGAGGGCCAGGGGTGGGGGCAGCAATGGTGACTCCATTCCAGGTCCTACAGAGAAAGAAATGGGAGTGGGCGGGGGCTGGGGTGGCCTGGGGTTGGGTGAGGTGGGGGGGGGGGGGCGGGGGTGGAGAAGAACCTAGAACAGGTGATGCCGGGGGGGGGGAGAAACAGGACTCACCATGCTGGGCCTGGGCTCCCCGGGAGGCTGGCAGTGTCACCTTGCTGCCCACTTCCTGTTGGCAGGTGTCACTCAGCAGCAAGGGGACGATGTGGGGATGCAGGCCCGGGCCAGGACTGAGAGCTGGTGTTGGGGAGACTGAGGCAGGGGTCCCCCCAGCCCCCAGCAGTTCCAGGACAGCAGGTGGCACTGATACAGCCAGGGGCTCAGAGATGTCCAGGGCAGCAGGGGAAGCAGGGTTGGTGGGCCCGTGGGGTGAGAGGGTCTGAGGGGTCGGTCGTGGTGGGAAGGCAGAGGCAGGGGCTGGGGGAGCCGGACTGGCAGGAGGTGCAGGGTCCCCCGGGGTGGGGCTGCTGCAGCGAAAGGTAAGGGGATCGAAGTCCAGTCCCCGAAGCCCCTCCAGGCAGCGGGGCGGGCTGAAGTCCAGTTCATCCCCATCATCTAACCAGGCTGAGGTGCGATGTGAGGGGGACCCAGAGAGGGGCCCCAGGCCAGCAGTGGAGGACTCCGAGGAGGAAGAGGAGGAGGAGGAGGAGGATGAAGAGGAGGAGGAAGAGGATAGGCTCTCGCAGGAGCCAGCAGGTGCTGGACCCACCGGAAAAGCATCGCTGCTGGAGTGGGGTCGCCGCAGCCTGTGGAGCCTCTGCAGGCCTAGAAAGAATGGAAGCAGCGAGGGGTCCAGCTGTATACATGCGTGCCCCAGTGACACTGGACCCAGCTCCACAGAATAGCCAGGAAGTGGCAAGAGGCCAGGTCCTGGGGGGCCATGGAGGCCGAGAATCAGAAAGGTAGAGCCAACTCATGGAGAGAAGGCAATGTCACAAAACGTCACACACACACAAAAAGTTAACCTTGCAAGCAGAGTACTGGTGGCTCACATCTGTAATCCTAACTACTCAGAAGGCTGAGATCCAAGGACCATGGTTCAAAGCCAGCCTGAGCAGGAAAGTCCGTGAGACTCTTATCTCCAAAGAACCACCAGAAAATTGGAAGTGGCGCTGTGGCTCAAAGTGGTAGAGTGCTAGCCTTGAGGGGAAAAGCTCAGGGACAGTGCCTATGCCCCAAGTTCAAGTCCCATGACTGACCAAGAAAAAAAAAAGACACCTTGCAAAGACTTTGCAAAGCATGCAGGACTTGCACACTTGCTTATGGCAGCACATGCTTAGAATGAGAATGATGACCATTCAATGAGAGGAAGTCTCTGTTGGGGGCAGCAAGCATGAGCAGCTCAGGGAAGGTAGTAAGACTCTTGTAGTTTGCCTAGGGAGTTTGTGGGTGCTTATAATTTTTTTTTCCAAAAGAGAGAAATACACAAGGGCCCTGTATGAGTAAAGTATGTAGTGGATCATCTGCATTTAAATCCAGATTTTAAAAATCCCCTTTTCAATCTGAAATAATACTTAAAGGCAAAAATATCCAGACACGGTGGCTCACACCTGTCATCCTAGCTACTGAGGAGGCTGAGATCTAAGGATCACAGTTTGAAGCCAGCCCAGGCAGGAAAGTCCTTGAGACTGTAATGAACCACCCAAAAACTAGAAGTGGAGCTTGGCTCAAAGTGGTAGAGCGCTAGACTTGAGCACAAAGAGACTCAGGGACAGCACCCAGGCCCTGAGTTCAAGCTCCAGGACTAGGAAAAAAAAAAGGCAAAAGTAAGTCCCAGTTCCTCCCTGTGTGCTTACCAGCCCCGCTGGCCTGGGAGGACAGAGACTCCTCGCTCTTGGCAGATCTCAGGGTGACGGTGTCTGGATGGGTGCCTGGAGGAAGAGGCGGCAGAGGTAGGAGGGCCAGCCTCAGACCCCTCCCACCACCCAGATCCCACGGCCTCTGACCTGAAGGCTGCGGTGGGGCTCTGGTGCCCCCCAGCCAGGGCAGAGGCTTCTTTCGGGGTACACTGGGGCCGCGGCCCAGAGCAAAGAACGTCTTCCAGCTGCTGCTTCCCGGCTTCCGCTGTTTCTCCCCTCTCTCCCTTTTCCGCCTGGGGTTCAGGGTGGAATGGGGGTGAGTCTGAGGGAGTGGGGCCTCCAGGCCTCCTCCCTCCTCCCACAGCATCCCACTCACCTTTCCACGGGGGAAGACCGAGGCTTGGGGGCTGTGGGCTCAGTGGGTGTTCCCAGGCGGCCCTGGGTACGAGCCTGGGCTTCCTCCAGCGTCAGCAGGCGAGTGGAGGGGCCACTCCCCGCCAGGGACTTAGGCCTGGGGAGGAGGCAGCGACCTGGGGAGGTTGGGAAGGGGACAGCTGTCAGCATCGCAGGCCACTTGGGGCCACAGGCAAAGCCAAGCGCCACAGCCCAAGCCCCGGCCCCGCAGCGTGCCCACCCGGGCTGGCAAGGCAGGGGGCCAGGGTGGATCAGGCGGGGAATGGGGGGCAGCAGGCAGGTGAGGAGGAGGAAGGTGAGGCAGAACGAGCCGATGAAGAGGCAGCTCCCAGCAGCCAGCGAGGGTGGTGGCTCTGGTCAGTTACCTCGGGCCAGAGGCCCCTCCGACGAGCTGAGTCCTGATTGGGCTGGGGTCCCGGGCAGGGCAGGGAATCTGGGCGGGGCTGGGGTGGGGTCAAGTCTGGGGACCTCCCACTTCCTCCCAGATGGACCCAGGGCCCCAAGCGCCCCCAGGATCTAGAAAGGGTGAAGGAAGAACGGCGTCCTGGCCAAGAAGTGGGGATCCTGAGCGTAGGAGCTGAAATGAGAAGGAGGGGGGGCGCGGGGAGGGATGGGCCGGGGCGGGATCCTCAAGGGGCCAAGAAGGAGTCCAGCTTCAGTGGCGTAAGGGTAGGGCCAGAAGCCCACCTGCCCGCCCACTGCAGCCCTAACATTCAGGGACAGTAGCCAGGATGAGCGGGGAGGGGACACCCATACCTGCAGGGTCCAGGCCGGCAGAGGTGAAGGTGTCACTGAACAGAACCTCCACGTGGGTGAGCAAGAATTCCACCACCACCGACTGCACTCGAACCTCTCGAAAAGCTGCTGCTCCGCCCAGCCCCACCGACTCCAGCTCCATGGACCTGGAGGCCAGAACAGGGGCATCCACCACCCCTTCAGCTTGGGCCATGGTTTGCCAGTATGGAGGTAGCAGTGGGAGGATGGCTGTCAACACCCACCTCTGCCCTTCTCAAAGCCATCACATCCAGAACTGGACTTTCAGCTTCCCCCAAACCTGCTCTGTTCCCACACTTCACTTAATGCCAATCACCAGGGCTGTCCTCCATCTCACTGTCCCACACACCCGCATGTGGTCATCGAGCCCTGTCCTACCAACTATAAAATCTATCCCAATCATGCTGGATGCTGGTGGCTCACGCCTGTCATCCTCGCTACTCAGGAAGCTGGGATCTGCGGATCACTGTTGGAAGCCAGCCCAGGCAGGAAAGTCCCCATGAGACTTTTATTTTTTTTATTTTTATTTTTTTTGGTCATGGGGCCTGAACTCTGGGCCTAAGCGCTGTCCCTCAGCTCTTCAGCTCAAGGTGAGCACTCTACCACTTGAGCCACAGCGCCACTTCTGGTTTTCTGGTGATTTATTGGAGATAGAGTCTCATGGATGTTCTTACCCAGGCTGGCTTTGAACCCCCATCGTCAAGATCTCAGCCTCCTGAGTGGCTAGGATAACAGGCGTGAGCCATCGGCACCTGGCTTAAGGATCAGAGTTTGAAGCCAGACTCAGGCAGGAAAGTCCATGAGACTTTTTTTTTCTTTTTACATTTTTCTATTGTAAAAATGCTGTACAGAGGGGTTACAGTTACATGATCAAGGTAATGGGTATATTTCCTATTGAGCATTGTTGCCTCCTCCTTTGTTTTCCCCTTACCATTCCTTCCCTCCCACCTCCACAGCCATGAGACTGATCTCCAATGAACCAGCAAAAGCCAGAAATGGAGCTATGGATCAAGTAGGGGAGTACCAGCCTTGAGCAGAAAAGCTAAGCGACAGCACCCAGACTCTAAGTTCAGGTCCCAGTACTGACGAAAGTAAGAAAGAAAGAAAGAAAGAAAGAAAGAAAGAAAGAAAGAAAGAAAGAAAGAAAGAAAGAAAGAAAGAAAGAAAAGAAGGAAAGAGAGAGAGAGAGAGGGAGGGAGAGAGGAAGGGAGGGAGGGAGAGAGGGAGGGAGGAAAAGGAAGGAAGGAGAGGGAGAGAAAGAGGGAGAGAGGAAGGGAGGGAGGGAAAGAGGGAGGGAGGGAAAGGAAGGAAGGAGAGGGAGAGAAAGAGGGAGAGAGAGAGAAAGGGAGAGAGAGAGAAAGAAAGGGAGAGGGCTGGGAAGGTGGCTCAGTGGTAGAGCGCTTGCCTTGCATGCATGAGGCCCTGGGTTCGATTCCTCAGCACCAAATAAGCAAAAAAGAAAAAAACGGAAGTGGCA